GCAAAGAAATCTGTAAGTAGTCTCTTCGTAATTAACGTCTTCAAACTGCCCTTAAACAGTTATAGTTTCCCTGGAAGCATTAATATAACAAAACAGTATTTTATAATTTACATTGTGTTAATAACGTTGAGTGTATGTACCACAGAACTAATTTCAACATGCGTATATTTTGCTGCCAACTCGCCTTTAGAAACTGTTTCAACTTAGTGCGTTTGTTTTTGAAAAAGTTAAAATAATACGAAGTAGTAGTACGAAGAATACTCATATAAACATTTTTGTACATACGGAAGTTAAATATTACTCACTTCTAATTTGTTCTCTCACATTGTGTACATTCAAATTTACCATTTCGTTTTGTATTCCAATTTTCGAAAATACAAAGAGTCGAAAATGGGACCAGCACCACTTTCTTTACCGTTCTTTGCTACATTCATGAAAAAAAATTAAAAAAGAAATGCTGCCGTTCCTGAGAAAAAAAAATGTTTAAAATTTAAAAATTTAATATGTTTGGGCTAAATTACGCACAAAATATTGCATTTTCTAAAAATTGAACAGGACCTTATACGAAGATTTGTTTCTTATGAATGTATTTCATTAAGAAAAAATGTTCTTCATAATTGTAGTTGTAGAAAGACGCCGAAAAGACTTTGAATTCTTGCAATTTCCGAAAAATCAGAGATATCAACGAATATGAGATCTCTGCTATTTTACCGTTGTCGGTGGCGTTTTTGAGAAAAAAAATGTTTAACAAAATGCCTATATTTCAAATAATAAAGTAATATAAATCTGACTTCAGAACAGATTCTATTAAGGAAAAAAAAATCTTTATCTTCAATACACTAGTTGAAGGCAGATGCGGGAAAAAACAAACTTTTTCAAAAAGAAATGTTTTTGAAAAATCAGGGATTCCCGCAACTATGATACTTGCACCATTCTCTTAAGTGTCCTTTACGCTATTCGAGGACAAAATTGTAACAAAAAATATGTTGCTATTTTTTTGAAAAAATTGAAAATGTCCCATGGGCTTCATGTAAAGTGCCCCCACAAAATTAAAGTTTCGTTTTTCTAATCTAAGGGGCCGAGACATCAGCGAGATCGATTGAGGTATATCAAATTTGGTGAAAATCCTACTTACCGTTAGCCACAAGTATTGTTCACAGAAAGTGTTTTCTTCACAATTGTTTTGTTTGTTCATTTGTTTGCACATTTGAGCCAAGACAACAGTGTGCGTTTTCCTTGCGATGTCCCAGTGTATGTTGCTGTGTGACGATGAGAGAAACTCACATATCTGGTTGAGAAGACCGGAATACGGCGTGGAGATGGCTAACCACACGTACCCGCTTAACCCGTGGCCGCGAGGCGGGGACGTCGCCAGTAGGCCTGAGCCTGTTCACGGACTGTCGCGCCAAGTACATACATGCATATTAGCACATGCCATTTTTCCTGATACATATAATACATAGGGAGACATACTCAAAAAAATCTTTAACCTGAAAACTGAGGGCGACATATAAATTCTGAAATTTGATCTGGATTGAGAGGAAATGTATCTTACAGAAACAGTGTGTTTTATTTCTTTGTAGACCAGTGTTATCAAACGAGGCGCTGAATTTCAAAACCAACAGTGTTGGAATTGGAATAAGACGTTACAATATAAATTGCAATAATAATTCGTATAATATACATGTAATATCGTTTTAGGTTCTATAGCCCTCGCAAAGTTTCAAAGTAGGGTCTACTATAATTTTCTAGAATGAGGACATATTCTCAGTTGAATTATAGACAATCAAATATCATAAGTATTCACGTTAAATAGCCAATTTAATGTGAAATATGGGTGCCACAGGGTTTTGTGACTCAGTTGTGACCACAACATCAGGTAGGAACTTAAAAAACATAAAATTACAAGACAAACTTAAATCGTAAAATTAACATAAATGAATTGAAATACCGAAAGTAACACAAAAAAATTACAATATTATTGTGTGCTTAAACAGGAACATTAAAAGTAAACATATGAGACGGTTACTGAAATAACTTTGAAATTAAGGACTGCTATGACAACATAGATGAGTTGTTAGCTAACAAAATGACAATGGACTTCAAGTTATCAACCAAACATACCCAAATCTCAAGACAACCATCAGAACTAAGAAAGTATTTACAACAAAACAAGTTTTTCTGTCGAAAAGTCACCTTTTTTTTGTCACAGCATCAATACTGCCATTTAAAGCATTACAAAACTTTGTTTATGCTACGTACATTACTCCGGACATATGTAGGTATACGATGAAGTAATGTTTTACTGCAATTTGAAATGCAGGTGATTAATGTATTCGAAATAAATCACTGGTTTTCTTTAAATTTCAGGTATACGCCATCTGAATGCAGTTCCAATGGATCCCCTCCATCTTCCAATATTGAGCTTGGAACGGAATAACCCCATCTTTCCGTCCTTGGCTTTCAATATTACTAATACAGTGCACAGAGGCTGGAAGGATGTCGTTATGTTGCGTTCCAAGTAAGGGAAAATATTATCCTTTCTTTTATTTCAGTCTATCTACCTCTCTACTAAACTACACTACCTTACTACAACATTGGTCGTAGTAATCATATTCATCAGGTGACAGTATCAGCAGCTCATTACGAAAAATTCACATATAATACATGTACATTATTTTATAACGCCTTTGTCAGAATTATGTGTGTTCGGTGTCATCAACTTCATGGCTGCAGTAGAAGCATTACGCTTCTAATGACTTTCTGAATCTGAATACCTGGGTTAAATTGAGTCACGGACCCATGTTTCCGGCTCATCCATCTGGATATGTTCGGGATGAGTCTATTTGCCGGTCTCCTCTCTGTCCCAGTGCTTCTTCCAGAGGTGCATCACGTTTTCTTTAGCATTTTTAATTGCGTTATCCGTATCTTGGTGCGATCGCCGCCATCTTAAGGTCAAATAACCAGTGATGTACCGACATATTGGAACGATTTGTACAACCCTTACTTTTAAACCTCGCGCCAGGTGCTCTGGATTCAGTGCTGTCGAACTCTAGTAAGCTAGATACCTTGCCCCCGAACTTGATATGCCTGCGGTAGACAAATAGAACCAAACATGCGAAGTACTCATTATGGGTTATACGAATTGCAGAATGAAACAAACCAGTTTATGGATCTATACGAACATTCGTGGAAGAAACAATAAAGAAAGAGAATGAACTTTCGAGAATTTGCAGTTTTTAACAATTTAAAAGTAACAAACACTTTTCTGCAAGAAATTATTTTACAATTTTACTTGGACCAATGAAAACTGTACATTCTTGATATATTACGTAATTGTTCATCAGAAGTAAAGGATACAAATGTGTTGACAGATTATGTCGTTACACAGACCATTATCTAGTAGTACCTCGCGTCAAGATGTATTCAATATGGAGAAAAGTAAAGAAAAACACTTCAGTTGATGATGCAAGGAAAGTTTACACAATGCATTTTCTAGAAGAGTAAAGCATGAGGGAATTGTAACAATATAGACTAAAGGAACACTTACATTTAAATACTTGAAGTACCAATGTGGAAGGAATGTGGGCTAATTTGAAAATGTATGTGACGAAGGCTGCTAAGGAAGTTCTGGGTACGAAAAATAACATCAAAAATGAAAGATTAAAAATCTGGATGACAGAAATAGAAGAATTTGTCAGAATGAAGAAAAAAAGTTATAATAAATAGCAAACAACCCAACACATGTTAAGAGTACCACAACGCAAAAAATTGAGCAAAAATAGCAATTAAGAAAGCTCACTATGCATCTTGGGAAACATTTATTGCAAATATTCAACGTGATGAACATGGAAGGCATTATTTAGCGTCCAAGATCATGAAGTCCGTAAATAGATCTCTAAAAGTCTCTGTAAATGTCAAAAGCTTTGAAGTAGATAAGTGAGCAGAAACCTACCAATCTCTGTCGTACAATGATATAGAAATCGATCTAATTAACCATGGAGAAAAATTTCCAGACGATGACATCACAAGAGAAGAACTGAAAATTGGTTTAAAAGGATTAAACTAGTGGTGCTAGAACCACACGTAGTTTCTCGGCCGTATTTTCACCCCAAATTACGAGCAAATAACTCCCATTTTCGAAAAATTGTTCAGGATCTTGTTTCAAAATCTATCTTGCCAGTGAAACTTTGGCGAACAAAAAATTAAATACCAGCAAATTCATTACAAACGCAAATAAATAAAAAAACAGCAAAAATTAATTTTCTACGAAACACTAGGGTGCTCACTACTCGACACAAAACGTAATTCTAAAACAGATATTTTAAAAGTCAAATAATTATACGAAAACCTTTTCGAAAATAAGATGAAATGGTAGAATCGTGCATCAAGAATACTGACTTCCGTTCTGAGCTATGGAATAATAGGACAGAAGGAAGAAGGTCATTGTTAGACCGAGATGAACAATGTGTGCCGTAACAGGTCCCATAACATAAACCCTGTCGGAAAGAACAGTGGAGAAAATTTAACATACCTAAATTTGGGGCAATAACTGTCCACTGACTTCTCGAAAAGACTGTCATGGGCCAGATAGCCAGTGATGTACCGACACCCGAAAGTGTTTTGTACAGTCCTTACTTTTAAATCTCACGCCAATTGCCATAGATACATTGCCTGCGAGCTCTAGTAAGCTAGTTACTTTGCCACCAACTTTGACATCCCTACCCTACAATTTAATACGTTAAGGAAATATTCTACGTTAACCGCACCTGTTACACCCTAGAGAACCATAACCTAGCGTCCATTACGTCACTTCATCGTGAGCTGTAAGCCCATTGCCGCCGGGAACTGATTCTACAGCGTAAGCTTTGTAAGTCCGTTTCGGCCTAGCACTTACTCCTGCTGCTAGTTGTGTCTTATAAGTCCCTGGCGGCATTTGAACCCTTTTACGGGGAGGTGACGTCCTGGTTGCGCACTCGGGATCCCTAATAATGTATGTCATCATCGTCATCAGGCGATTTACAACAACATAAACATTTAGTTATCAGCCGACGCTCGTGCCCTCTATTTACACCAATGTGTTTTACAGTCTTTGAGTTCCTTGACTCTCATCTTCATTCCCGATCTCCTCAGTGACTCGAAAGTCTATCGGGGCCGAGCACTTATTCCTGCAGTTTGTGACTCATAGCCACTGGAGGCGCTTGAACCCTTTTACGGGGAGGTGACGTCCTGGTTGCGCACTCGGGGTCCCTAATAACGTATGTCATCATCATCATCGTCATCCGGCGATTTACGACAACATAAACATTCAGTTATCAGCCGATGCTCGTGCCCTCCTGCGCTCCCCCTTAAGCCCATGTGGGCACGCAGTCACAACACAAAACATTCGGGCTGGGAGAGAACAAGCAAGGAATTACAGAGGTGCTGCATGGGGTTTTGGATGGCTCCACCATGCCGCAACCTGGGTTCGAATCCCGCCTAGAACAGGGATGTTTGCCCTTTTTTTCATAATCTGAGTAATTGATGAGTCATATCACTAAGAGCAGGAAGCTTTTCGATATGTTTCGCTCTCCCACTAGTTTCATTACGAAATTCTTTTATAAACGTTACGGCCGCTACCGGATGAAACGGGAAGTTCTGAACAGCTGGCGCACCCAGACGGGCTGAAACATACGAAATTGTAATAAGAATGCCCCAAAGAGGTTTTGTCAAAATTTAAAATATCAAAATATCTGAACTTTTAAGTCTTTATGTGTTGATAGCGAACGGTCTTGTCTCCTTCCTCCCTATATATATATATATATATAATATATATATATATATATATATATATATATATATATATATATACATATACGCATAACAGGAACGTGAGCTCCGTTCATGATTCCCTCTCACTCTTTCGGAACCTTGGAAATTATACGAAATATTACGATTGGGATGACGGTTATTGTAAAATCTTACATTTATTCATTTTAAATCATTGTATGTGATCATTTATATTGGTTTCTTTTCTACTTCCTGGCGTACGATTCTCGAAACAGTGTAAGGAGGTGGTCGGTAAAGTTCTCGGCCTCACCCATAGATCAAAGGGCTACTCGCATGATTTTTTGCACAAACGTTGGTACAACTTTCACAAGACTTCATTTGAAATTTCAAATAATTCCATCCAACTGATCGATGTTCACAAGTGTTTTAATTGGATACGGTGCGTGTAATCTTGGAAATGGTGAAACTGCATTAGCGCACAGTGATAGAGTGCTACGTAAAAGAGGGTTTGACGCCGACCGAAATTCATTCATTCATTCATTCATTCATTCACTCATGTTAAACGTGTGTGGTGACTCTTGTCCTTCATTTTGAAGATAATGGGCGGCCGAGATTAATCGCGGCTGTTTCAGCATCCAAGATGAACCACTCCTAAGACGCCCAAAAAGTGGAACGACACCAGAAATTATCTAAAAACTGCACGATACGGTCTTGGAAGGTCAGTGTACGAAGGTACTTGAAATTGCTGAGAGAGTAGAAATTGCACATACGCTTGTAGGTCGCATTTTGCAAGAAGAATTGCATTCGAGGAAGCTTTGCGGATGATGGGTACCGCGTCTGCTGAAGGCTACTCAAAAACGCATTCGGCTGAAACTTTCTGCATGATGCTCAACGTGATTGCAGAAAAACAAAAATGATTTTTTGCGTCGATATGCGACTGTGGATCTAACATAGATTCACCTTTACACACCAGATTCAAAACAACAACCCAAGCAGTGGGCAGTAGTCGGTTCTTCAGTTCCAAAGAAGGTGTGCCATCAAGAAGGTGTGCTAAAGAAGGTGTGCGAAGACAGTGCCATCTTCAGGAATGATCATGACATCAGGGTTTAGGAATGCAAAAGGCGTTCTACTTATTGATTATCTGGGGAAAGGTAAAACAATAACTGGGGAATACAATTCTAAGTTGCTAATGACCGTTGATGCGAAAATTTGTGAAAAGAGCCCTGGTCTCCCGAACAAAAAAATCGTCTTCCATCAGGACAATGCACCTCCCAACAAAAGTGTTTTGGCAATGGGAAAATGGAGGGCTTTGCACTATGAAGAGCTGGAACATCCATCCTATTCCCCAGATTTAGCTCTCTCGAACTTCTAAACTAATCTGTCCTCAAAACTCAAAATCTACGTCGTCAAAACCTCCTGGTCACCGTTTTTCATCCAATGAAGAAGCCATTGCGACTGTAGGGGGGATTTTGCAACACTTTCAGAAAAGCAATAGAGAGATGGGATAATGACATTGAGGCACTGGTGAATGAAATGCATTAGTATTAATGGAGATTATGTTAAAAATATTATATACAAATATTTTTGTACACAAAAATTTTCATTTTCCCTATCTGGCCGAGAACTTTTCATCCTCGTATGATCTAAATCATATCACGTAAATGCAACTGTTGTTGTAAAATATATTTTATTCCATCCAGCATTGAGAGACACACGCATACCAATCACTCAGAGAATACACGTGTAGATATAATCC